CGCATCCATAAGTGGACCATTCTGCACTACAGCCCCTTCAAGGCGGTCTGGGATTGGCTGATCCTGCTGCTGGTCATCTACACGGCCATCTTCACCCCGTACTCGGCCGCCTTCCTGCTGAACAACCCGGAGGGGCGGGACCAACGGCCCTGCAGCTACTCCTGCAGCCCCCTCAACGTGGTGGACCTGATCGTCGACATCATGTTCATCATCGACATCCTGATCAACTTCCGCACCACCTACGTCAACACCAACGAAGAGGTGGTCAGCCACCCGGCCAAGATCGCCATCCACTACTTCAAGGGCTGGTTCCTGATCGACATGGTGGCGGCCATTCCCTTCGACCTGCTCATCTTCGGCTCCGGCTCGGAAGAGGTACCCGGGGCGGCTGGCGGGAGACGACCCTAAGTCGGGAATGGCTTGGCCCGCTTGGGATGGTGGCGGTGGGGCAGCCTTTGGTGGTGGGCCACCTTTGCCACTTCTCGCGAGGGCACAGGTAGTCCTCGACTTACGACTGCTACAGAATCCCTGATTTCTCTGGCTAAGTGAAGCATTTGCGAATTAGGCCCTGTTTTACGACGTTCCTTCGCACCATTGTTAAGACAATCCCGGCGGTTGTTCAAGTTAGTAACACAGCTGTTAAGCGAATCGGGATTTCCCATCAGATGGCCGCAAAAGGGGATTAAGTGACCCTGGGATGTGGCGAGTATCATAAACAAGAGTCCGTTACCGAGTGGATTTGTTTCACGTGACCACAGGGAGGCTCCAGCTGTTGTCAGTGGGAAAAACGGCCCCAAGCCACTTTTTTCCACTACCGTGGTAACGTTGAATGGTCGCTAAATGAACTGCTGTACATTGAGGACTAGCTGGACTGTGTCAGGTTTGGGGAAAAATTGGGGAAGCCTTTGCTTTTTGAAAGTCGTTTGATGATCTGCGGGTAGAGGGAGAGGGAGCACTTTTGATTGTCAGGGACTTTGAAGGACAATGGGGGGAGGTGTCCTTCCCCGCCACTGAAGCGGGCATGCTGGGGGACAGAAGCTCGATTTGGCCTGTGCCAGATGTTCATTTTTTGTCTTTCTGGCAACCGAAGCTCGGCGGGCTCTGACTTCCCGGTGTAAGGTGGTTCCTATTGATCCAGCCGAAATGGATCTGTTGGAGATCTGCCTGCAATGAGGAGCGGGATTGAAGGTGGCACGCCGGAGGGAGGGAGGGAGGAGAGCGACCCCGCTGGCACGGCTGGCCGTCTAGACAGCTCTGGCTCTTCCTCAAAGCTGGCATCGCTGCCTCTAGCCCAGCTGGGTGGCCCCCTTCAGGATTCCCTTGGCTGTGGGGAGAAACTAGGTCAACACAGAGGAGGCCCACACTGGCAGAGAGGGGTCAAAGTGCCCTTGGGCAGCTTGCATGGGGTGTTTGGTGATCCAGGAGGGAAATGCCATGGTCACGGGCAACTCAGACCTCACTTACGCGAGCTGTAGCCGAGTGCATACACAATGGCAATTGGTGTGTGCGTGGGCCTGCCACTCGGCTCAAACAACCTCCTCCCCTCGACGAAAAGGTTGGGGGACTGTGCTGTGTGCAGCCTCCGAGAGTCCCCACTGAGAATGACAATCGGCTGACCGCAGGGTGGAAACCGCCTGCGCAAAGGGGTTGAGGGACACTGTGGGTGACCCTGGATGAGAGTGGGGCTCTCTGGGAAATTCACAGCCTCCCCACCACTTCTGCCCACACAGACCACCACCCTGATTGGGCTGCTGAAGACGGCCCGGCTGCTGCGCCTGGTGCGCGTGGCCCGCAAGCTGGACCGTTACTCGGAGTATGGCGCGGCGGTGCTCTTCCTGCTGATGTGCACCTTCGCCCTGATCGCCCACTGGCTGGCCTGCATCTGGTATGCCATCGGCAACATGGAGGGCAAGACCATCGGCTGGCTGCACTCACTGGGCGGGCAGATCGGCAAGCCCTTCAATGAGAGCACATCGCACCTTGGCCCCAGCATCAAGGACAAGTACATCACCGCCCTCTACTTCACCTTCAGCAGCCTCACCAGCGTCGGTTTTGGCAATGTGTCGCCCAACACCAACCCTGAAAAGATTTTCTCCATCTGCGTCATGCTGATCGGCTGTGAGTGTGGCTGCCGGGGAGGGGGGAGGCTCAGTTGGGGTGGCCGCCCAGGAGGGCATCTGATTTGGGACAATGTTTCCTTAGAGTGATGTCCTGTGCTCTCTGTGCATGCTCACAGAAACTCTTCTTGGCGTGCAGGACGAGCTGGAACTGAGTGATTACAAAGCACAGCCTTCCCATAGCAGCAGGCGGCGTGTTGCGTATCGCCCTGTGGATTGGGAGGGGGGAGTTTATACCCAGATTTGCCGCATAGTGGGGGAACTGTCTTGAGCCTGGCCAGGGGTACCGCTGTGTGAGGCACAACCCTTTCTGGGTGCCAAAATGCTGAGTCCAGGCACCGGGAGTGATAGTAGCTGACGGATGTCTTCCTTCTCGCCAGCACTGATGTACGCCAGCATCTTTGGGAACGTCTCGGCCATCATCCAGCGGCTGTACTCTGGCACCGCACGCTACCACACCCAGATGCTGCGGGTGCGAGAGTTCATCCGCTTCCACCAAATCCCCAACCCCTTACGCCAGCGCCTAGAAGAATATTTCCAACACGCCTGGTCGTACACCAACGGCATCGACATGAATGCGGTGAGTTTGAGTAGCCCCTTTGCCCCCACTCCCAAGGACCTGGCTGGTACCTCCTCCTGAGGGTCTGGGGGTCCAGTGTCCCCCTGATGGGATCCTGGGGATGGAAGTGCCTGTGCCACTGGGATCTCCCACATTCGAAAACCCAAGGAGTACAGAACAGGAGTCCACAACATCCGGTCCATGGTCCACTACCGAGCTTCAAGACATTCCAAACTGAGCCACAGAAGTGGTTGAGCATGTATCTACATCCTCACATATTTGGGTGGCAGGTGAGCAGTGGTGGGATACAACTGGTACAGCCCGGTACGGGCGTACCGGTGCGTGCTGGGAGCACCAGGTACTGTTCCGGTATGGTGCTCTGGAGGGCCCACCTGCCTGTCCACTCTCCTTACTGCTATTTGAGCCGATAAAGGCTTTCGTGCATGGAGCATATGATGCCTGCGCGATGCTCCACCGAGCAGCTGGGGCGTCGTGGGTGCTACGCGCGTGCTGCACGTGTTCACGTGGATGCCGGGCCCCATTGCAGCGTATTGGTTGCAACGGGATCC